GGGACTCGACAAGGATTCAGGCTGGATTCAAACTATACTCACATAGAGGACTCAACAAATTTCTTTCATGAAAAAGTTTATAATTTTTTCATTTTTTTTTATTCCTGGACAAAAATAATAATAATCTAATTTACTTCTTGAGTGACTTGGTAAAATAAAATGGACATGTTTACTATTTTTACAGGTTTGACTTCATGTATTTCCTTTAGAGTGTGTGTGGGGTGGGTGAGTGTGGGGGTGGAGTGAGTGTGGGGAAAGTTGTGTGGGAGGGTGTGAAAAAGTGTGACTAAGGATTCCTTGTGTTTAATCATCACAAAGACAGTGGATACATAATACAAGAAGATACTATAGGAAGACAGGAAGGGCACTATATTCATCTTGGACACTATATTAAGTCACTATATTCATCTTGGACACTATATTAAGTCACTATAAACAACTACGAGATTTATTCCACTTGTAAACAATAAAGAACAAATTAATAGTGAGAGTCTTAGTGTTCCCGTTACCTCAAAGGCAAAAGTTATTCATGTTTACAAAAAGTGGTTGACGGGGTTCTTGCTTACGGGAAAACACTGACTGATCTTGAAACTCACTTCAGTTTGAGAGAGATAGAGAGAGAGTAGAATAGAGTAGAGTAGACCAGAGTAAGAGTAGAGTAGACCAGAGCAAGAGTAGAGTAGACCAGAGCAAGAGTAGAGTAGAGTAGACCAGAGTAGAGTAAAGCAGAGTAGAGTAGAGTAAGGCAAACAGTATAGCCAACTCAGCGTACCTCCAGATAATATACAGTATGTTTTATGGTACGAGGGAAGAAAGTTTTAATGATTTTATGCCTGTTAGGGGATTCACTCGGCACAAGTCGTTAAAAAATCTTAACTTCCAAAAAGATCCCAACGAGGAGGAACGTCACCCTTATGTCAGGTGATACTTAAAGGTGGATATCCCGTAGGTGCTGTATACTGACGCCTGATGGGAATTCCTGAAGGAGGAAAGGAGGGCGTAGGTGTAGTGAAGGTATCGAAGAGGAGCTATAACTATGTAGTAAACTTCCAGGAATTTAATAATATGTCGTGTATGTCTCGTCAAGAACAATGGTACGGGTGTTATGTATGTATTGAATGTGTGTGCGGATGTTGTGGGTGGCAAGGAAAGGTGTGTGGGTGGTAGACAGAGTATGTGGGTGGTAGAGAGAGTCTGTGGGTGGTAGAGAGAGTCTGTGGATGGTAGAGAGAGTCTGTGGATGGTAGAAAGAGTCTGTGGGTGGTAGAGAGAGTCTGTGGGTGGTAGAGAGAGTCTGTGGGTGGTAGAGAGAGTCTGTGGGTGGTAGAGAGAGTCTGTGGGTGGTAGAGTCTGTGGTAGACAGAGTCTGTGGGTGTGAGAAGGGGTGTGGATGGTAGACAGAGTCTGTGGTTGGTAAAGAAGTGGGATGGTGAGAGGGAATCTGTGGATGGTAGAGAGAGTCTGTGGAGTGGTAGAGAGGGATCTGTGGGTGGTGAGAGAGAGGTCTGTGGGTGGTAGACAAGAGTCTGTGGGTGGTAAGAAGGATCTTGTGGGTGGTGAGCAAGTCTGTGGGTGGTAGAGAGTCTGTGGGTGGTAGAGAGTCTGTAGGTGAAGTAGAAAGGGTTATGGGTGGTAGAGAGAGTGTGGGTGGTAAAGAAAGTCTATGGGTGGTAGAGAGAGTGTGGGTGGCAGGGAAAGGTTTGTGGGTGGCAGGGAAAGGCCTATGGGTGGTAGAGAGAGTGTGGGTGGTAAAGAAAGTCTATGGGTGGTAGAGAGTGTGGGTGGTAGAAAAGGCCAGTGGACAAGGGAGAAATGGCCTTCTTCGAGATAGGACAGGTGTGAGAGATTGAACAGGTGTGAGAGATAGAACAGGTGTGATAGATAGTACAGGTGTGAGAGATACAACAGGTGTGAGAGATTGTACAGGTGTGAGAGATTGTACAGGTGTGATAGATAGTACAGGTGTAATAGATAGTACAGGTGTGAGAGATAGAACAGGTGTGAGAGATAGAACAGGTGTGAGAGATAGAACAGGTGAGAGATAAAACAGGTGTGAGAGATAGAACAGGTGTGAGAGATAGAACAGGTGTGGGACAGATGTTCTAGCTACGTACAATATCTTGGCCTTGATACACCTCCCAGCCTCTGATTAGTGATGAAATTTCCAAGCTTCCTACAGTAATTGATGACCAGGTAAGGTTTCATTTAATTAACGAATGGTGGAAGAGACGTCAGCTGATTGGGTCTTGTGGGGAAGGTGCTAGGGAGTCTTTTGTAATGGAATATAGACAGATTTGTTTTTTCGTTTTCGTTCTGAAGTGAGTTTTGATGTTTGGCTCTTTGACGACGATGATTTGACCCTTTGGCGACGATGATTTAACCCTTTGACGACTATGATTTAACCCTTTGATGACTATGATTTGACCCTTTGACGACGATGATTTAACCCTTTGACGACGATGATTTGACCCTTTGATGACGATGATTTGACCCTTTGATGACTATGATTTAACCCTTTGACGACGATGATTTAACCCTTTGACGACGATGATTTAACCCTTTAGGACTCAAAGGGTTAAGTAGAATTATTTGTTTAATTACTTTATATCAACAGTGACTCTTATGTAAACTTTCCTCTGATGACGTGATGATGTTGTTATTTTTGTTTGTTTACTTCTAGAATCTTTTAACACACACACACACACACACACACACACCAAAACCGTAGTCATGCACATCAATACCGCCACCACTCCAGTGCAAGCTCCAGCAGTCACAGTGGGTGCCCATCCTCTCCAGCTGGTGCAGTCTGTCAAACTCCTGGGTGTAACTATAGACAACAAACTTGACTGGAAGGCCCATGTAAATAACACAGTCAAGGCAGCCTCGTACCGTCTCTACATGCTACGACGACTTAGATCACTTGGGGCACCCACGCCAGAGCTGAGGACCATCTACAACGCCTTTATTCTCCCCAAACTAACGTATGCATCACCAGCCTGGTCGTCTTCTCTCAACTCCACCCAACAACGTCAGCTAGAGAAGGTACAGAAAAGGGCCTGCAGAATCATGCTCGGCACAGACTACTCCGGCTACACCAACGTTCTCTCCACCCTGGAAATGTCATCCCTCAGTGACCTCCACCACCAAGCACTGGAAAGGTTTGGCAGCCAATTAATGCACCACCCTCGCCACCTCCTGCCACCTGCAGCCCCCCACACACCTCGCGCAGTCCGCCACTACAACAAAATTCAGCCCATAAGAGCCCGCACTGATAGATATAAGAACAGCACCATCCCATCTAGTGTTAAAATAATAAACAACTGATTTATGTACTGTACAGCCCTGTAAATGTATTCAATGCATATTATATCATTATGTCTAAATCAAATGTAAGTGTATATTTTCAGCCACCGGCTGCAACTCTATTAATAAACCGTTTATTATTATTATTATTATTATTATTATTATTATTATTATTATTATTATTTATTTACACACACACACACACACACACACACACATGTACTCTTCCTAAAATAATGTTTATACTTGTGGCAATATATCGTAACATGTCTCATACCTGTCACATACCTGTCTCATACCTCTCACATACCTGTCTTATACGTGTCACATATCTGTCTCAATATGTAGTGTGTCTAAGGTGCACCAGCCAACAGATTCACTGGAGTGCCGGGAATTACTAACTACCATTGATCAAGGTGGATTGTACAGGTTAAATTAGCCTATGATGTCACCCAGCGTATGATGTCACTGCTTGGACAATCACCAATGGTAGTGCCAGAAGCCGTCAATCACCCCCACCACCCACCCACCCACTCTCTTGCACTAGATGGAACGAGATGCATAACACCTACATAGTGGAACAGATTAGTGCAGTGGAACAGTTAGCATCGTGTTTATTGTGGAACAGATTAGAGGAATGGAACAGTTAGCATCGTGTTTATTGTGGAACAGATTAGAGGAATGGAACAGTTAGCATCGTGTTTATTGTGGAACAGATTAGAGGAATGGAACAGTTGGCGTTATCATCATAGTGGAACAGTTCATGTTATCTTATCCTGAAGAAAAAAAAAACACTTAAATAACAATGGGTCTTTTTATTATCTTATATTACGTCTAGATTTATTTCTTAACATTATAAAAGACGAAAAATTTGCTCTAAATAACTCTCGTCTGACTGAAGAGAGAGAGAGAGAGAGAGAGAGAGAGAGAGAGAGAGAATAATGGATGGTGGGTGTTCGAGCATCACGAAACCCCGGGACTTGTAGTGAAGAAAAAAGAGAGAGAGAGAGAGAATAAAAATCACTGAGAGAATGAGAGACTTGATGCTCGTTGTTGTCATGTTTTGAATGGCTTAAGTTAACAAAATGTGAGTAATCAAAACAAATAAAACTGATAAATATTGAAAAAAAAATATGATTATTCCCAGTACATCATTTTTGGGTACCGTCTGCTGGTTACCTGTGTGATGTAACCCTTTGAGGACCAGGTGTGTAAGTTATAGCCCTTTGAGGACCAGGTGTGTAAGCTATAACCCTTTGAGGACCAGGTGTGTAAGCTATAACCCTTTGAGGACCAGGTGTGTAAGCTATAACCCTTTGATGGCCAGGTGTATAAGCTATAACCCTTTGAGGACCAGGTGTATAAGCTATAACCCTTTGAGGACCAGGTGTGTAAGCTATAACCCTTTGAGGACCAGGTGTGTAAGCTATAACCCCTTGAGGACGATAATTCAAGTGATAATTTTCAAGGAGTTAAATTATTATCCTCAAAAATCTGGCAACTTAATCCATCGTCCTCAATTTGCTACGGATTAAATCATCGTCTTCAAAGAGTTAACCATCATCATCATCATCATCATCATCATCAAAGGGTAAAAAAATTTGTCTTCCCATAACTTGTCATCAACCTCACTCGTGTTCCAAAAATTAAATCGAGTGATTTTAATTAATTGGTAAATCTTTTTCTCCCACCAGATTCGTGGAGTCAAACAGGGAAGAAACGGTCTTTAGTGAAGGATTGTCTCGCCTATAGGACTTCACAGGTAGGATCCTCAGGGTTCCTTCTCTTACTAATGTTACGTACTATTAATCCTCTAAGGACACAGACAGACAGACTAATCATTCTTCAGCCTTCACACGGGATTAAAGTCATTCTACTGGACATCTTGCAAGTGAGAGTGGCAGAGTTAACATGATATCAATCGCTTAAAGACGAAGGCGATGCAGGGGAAACTATATTAGAACGTCAATCATTCTTCCTCACTGCCTCGACACAAGATGAATGATCGTGAGTGCCTGTTCGAGTGTTAAGTGGGGAAATATATCTCGTGTTAGACATTTTATATTACACTACGAAGATGTATATATTTTCTTATGTAATTTTTGCTATTTTTTTTTGTATTTGTGAAGATGTGTGTGTGTGTGTGTGTGTGTGTGTGTGTGTGTGTGTGTGTGTGTGTGTGTGTTTTCCTTCCTATAATTGAGTCTTATGGGAGAAAAATGTTCCAGACACCAATCACAAAGACGAACAGTCACGATAGGTTTCGAAGAACCAATCGCAGCTGGGCCAAAATTTATAACGTAATAACCTTAACCAATAACAGAGAGGAAAGTGGATGACGTTATTCATTTAACCAATCACAGACTAGGCATTTATGGTGACGTATACTTCTGTCATTGGTTGATAAGATGTAAATAAGATGTCGTCATCACTCATTGTTGACAGAATTAGTGTTTAAGTATAATTGTAGTTTCACCTGAGTCCAATAAAAGTATTACACCAGTTCTTCGTGTGGTAGAGAAAGTATAATTAATGAAAGGAGATGTGAGCTGGAGACGAGAGAGAGAGAGACAGAGAGAGAAGAGAGAAGAAATACGGAACTATGTGACAGAATCCAGAAAGGTTAATCCCAGGTTATTTTAGGTCATATTAAAAGTAATGGGAACCTGAACAACTGATACTGAGGAATTTACTGTCAGAGAGTAGTGAGGCAAGACTGGGAGTATGGGAAGTGCCGGGAAGTGCCAGAAAGTATACAGTGCCACCCCAAAACAGTGGGAATAGAGTGACAGATAGAAATATGTATTAAGAGTAAATTGATATTGAGTTATATATGGTTTCGTGATTGTGATGCATAATAACAAAGCTTTAAATATTCATGACAAAATTGGTGCTAAATCGTCCACCATGGTAAATATATCACCATCATCATATATCACCATCATCATATATCACCATCATCATATGTCACCATCATCATATATCACCATCATCATATATCACCATCATCATATATCACCATCATCATATATCACCATCATCATATATCACCATCATCATTATATCATCATATATCACCATCATCATTATATCATCATATATCACCATCATCATTATCACCATCATCATATATCACCATCATCATTATATCATCATATATCACCATCATCATATATCACCATCATCATATATCACCATCATCATTATATCATCATATATCACCATCATCACCATCATCATTATATCATCATATATCACCATCATCATTATCACCATCATCATATATCACCATCATCATTATATCATCATATATCACCATCATCATTATATCATCATATATCGCCATCATCGCCATATCATATATCACCATCATCATATATATCACCATCATTATATCATCATATATCACCATCATCATATATATCATCATCATTATCACCATCATATATCACCATCATCATTGAGCATCATCATATAATCACCATCATCATATATCACCATCATATATCACCACCAATACATCACCACCACTCATATATCACCACATCACCATACTCTACCATCATATATCACCACCATCATATATCACCATCATCATTATATCACCATCATATATCACCATCATATATCACCATCATCATATATCACCATCATCATATATCACCACCATCATATATCACCATCATCATTATCACCATCATATATCACCATCATATATCACCATCATCATTATATCATCATATATCACCATCATCATTATATCATATATCACCATCATCATTATCACCATCATCATATATCACCATCATCATTATATCATCATATATCACCATCATCATATATCACTCACTAATACGAACAGAATTATAATATATTACTGTAAACAAACAATTATTTTATCCTTTCACTAACCTCCCTTATATAATGACTCCTGCTTAATAACGTGAGGTGCGATTAAACGGAAAACAATTAATTCACCTTAAAATAGACTATATAACAACATAGACTTAACGAGCGTGAATATATTATAAGATTAATTCAATACTGTTATATTTTTTCACATCACAAAACAAAATACTTTATTCATTCTTATAATAATTGAATATGAATTTATTTTTTCCGGTCTTATGCTAAAGGAAATTATGACTCGGTTACAAGAATTACAGCCATCATCGTAGACTGTATTGAAAGGGATATAGTCAATCGTACCCTGTAGCTGGTGCACGCACACACACACACACACACACACACACACACACACACAGGAAACCTCATTAATCACCAGCCCCTCAGCCTAGCTCCCCTCCCTCCCACACACACACCTCTTCCCAGGTATCAAAACAGCTTTCCAATTAGGCTGAGCCGAGAAACACCTACTGCGCCCGTCACTAGCCAATAGGATCTCCCAGCTAGTACACTGCCTCTCTGCTATTGTTATTTGATGTTCTTGATGGCAGAAGCTCTTGTGGATTGTGAAAGTCTGAGTATGTATGTATGGCGACCTGTGGTGTAATGGTCAGCATGCTCGCCTCGCAAGCGAGTGGACCCGGGTTCGATCCTCGAGCAGGGTGAAACTATGGGCAAGTTTCTTTATGCCATTTGCCCCAGTCTACCCAAAAGTAATTGGGAACCTGGATATTAATCGATTTCCGGATCGTGTTCCTTGATAATGGTTAGCCAGTGCAGTTGGCGAGCTGTCCGGTGTTCTCGGACTATTCTTTGACACTGGGTCCTATAACTCGTTAACTCAGGGTGTGGTTGTTGTGTTTTGTTTTGCATCAGAAAATCGTCAGCTTCTCTGGTTTAATAAGACACAAGACTACACTGTTGGTCCCTTGGCTGTGAGCACAACACAAACCAGTCCCCACGAACCTCCATCACTCTCCCATCATAAGTGGTTCCTCTTAACACACACACACACACACACACACACACACACACACACACACACACACACACACTATCCTCGGATGTACCCACGTAAATTTTCAACTCTTATAAGCAAAAAAATTGACGATGCTTTTAGGGAACTTCCAAACTAATTAGTATGTCCGTCAGACGCCCCTACAAGAGGCTCCTTACTGACGGTGCTGTTCCCGAGGTCGGTGGTGAGGAAGCTGCCATACTGAGCTGAGTCTCTTTAAAAGGCAAATATTAATCTCTTCTTGTTCAGTTCCTTATTGTTATTCGTTAGTGTGTGTGTGTGTGTGTGTGTGTGTGTGTGTGTGTGTGTGTGTGTGTGTGTGTGTGTGTGTGTGTGTGCGTGTGACTAACTCCTCACTCCATTATATCATGGGGGTCGGAGATCGGGGTCACTCTCCTTCACAAACTTTTAACAAACAAAATTGGCTCCAAGAAATGACACAGAACTTTCATCTCGAGAACCTTTGTGGATAACTTTTTCTCCTCTTGATGAAGTGATGGCGTGGGGCTGAGGCGAGGCGAGGGGAGGGGAGGGGAGGGGACAGGCGAGAAGAGTACAGGTGAGATAATACTGTACACTCCTCCACGATCCGACATCTTAGGTTCGTGAATATTAGTTGTACTTGTGGTGCCCCGGCTAAGATCCTCCAGGCACCCGAGTTCCGAGACAGAGGACTCTACTAGAATACTGTACGTCAACAACACAAGACAGGCTCAAGAGGTGTTCCATCGAGGAGATAATGAGAACCTCCTTCAAAGTCTCCCATCACACAGCTGGATCCAGGAGTAACCTTTGACCTTATAAGTGGAAGTGGATGGTTTGTGTCAGGTGGTACCAGATGCTCGGCGCTGTACCAAGGTGGGGAAGGGGTAGGGGTGGTGGTATTATTGGTGTCTTTGCTCCAACGAATTGAATTGTGACCATCTTACGAATGAAATCAAGATGTCGTAATTTATCTTGTTTGTATCTGATGATAAACAAAATCAATCGATCAATCAATCACTCACTCAATCAATCAAGGTACCATCGCCCTCCTGTCTGCTGAGGGTTGGCGACCACAGTCCTCCACTCTAAATATTTTCGAACCAAATAAATTCTCTCAGATATTGCTTCTCTCTGGTGATCCAAATTCTCATATCATTCTTCCTTCTCACTCACTCTACCGTCCCTACTACCGTCACAACTACCGTCCCTACTATCGTCACAACTACCGAATAATCTATACCATCATAATTGTATTTCAGTGCCAGGCTCTCACCAGCATCTGCTTTACAATAGTGCCAACTGCTCGTACCAAACTCTTCCTTCCTTCCTCATCCTTCTTCCTTCCTTCCTCCCTCCCTTCCTTCCTTCCTTCCTTCCTTCCTTCTTCCTCTCGGCTCTGCAACACACACACACTCTGGAGATAATTAACACAGTTTAGTACAATGAACCACTGATTATGGCTTCGGGTCTGACTTTAAGATACAAGATGATAATAATAATTAAAGGCTCGTTCCCAGAGCTGACAGGATAGATCTGACAGGATAGATCTGACAGGATAGGTCTAACAGGATAGATCTGACAGGATAGATCTAACAGGATAGATCTGACAGGATAGATCTAACAGGATAGAACTGACAGGATAGATCTGACAGGATAGATCTAACAGGATAGATCTGACAGGATGCCATCAAGAGACACAGGTTCAGAGTGCCAGCTGTTTGTAATTGTTAAAAGCGATTCTCTTCCCTGAGTTATGAGTGCACTTGTATTTTAAATGGCGAAGCTTATGTGACGTTTGCAGTGCGTCCTCTGTGTTGGTGAGAGATAAATTTGAAATTCATGACGGAAATGAA